TGTTGGGCATGAACTGTACCTAGCTAATAAATTTACAGAAAATGCAATATCTGGTCTAGTATTATTAGCTAAATACATTAAAGCTCCAATAGCACTCAGATATGGTACTTCAGGACCGAGTATTTCTTCGTCGTCTTCTCGGGGACGGAATGGATCATCGTGTATGTTGAGAGATCGAATGACCATTGGTGAAGTCAAAGGATGAGCTTTGTTCATATAGAATCTCTTCAACACTTTCTCGGTGTAATTGGATTGGTGGATGAAAATTCCATTCTTCAAATGCTCAATTTGAAGTCCGAGACAAAATTTGGTTCTCCCGAGATCTTTCATTTCAAATTCTTTCATAAGATATTTTGCAGTATTTTCAATTTCATCGGGAGTTCCAATAATGTTTAAGTCATCAACATATACTGCAATTATGGCGAATCCCGAATTTGATCGCCGAATGAAAACACATGGACTAATTGGATTATTCTTATATCCTTCTTTGAGAAGGTATTCACTGAGACGATTATACCACATTCGTCCAGATTGTTTTAGTCCATACAATGATTTTTGTAATTTAATGGAAAACATGTCTCGAGGTTTCGAGCTATATGCTTCAGGCATTTTAAATCCTCCGGGAACTTTCATATAAATGTCTGTATCGAGTGAACCGTATAGATAGGCGGTCACTACATCCATTAGGCGCATTTGCAGCCTTTCAAAAACAGACATGCCAATGAGAAACCTTAATGTAGTTGCATCAACTACTGGAGAACAGGTTTCTTCATAATCAATTCCCGGCATTTGAGAAAAACCTTGGGCAACAAGTCGGGCTTTATATCTAACAATTTCGTTTCTCTCATTGCGTTTACGCACAAATACCCATTTAAAACCCACAGGTTTTACGCCTTTTGGCGTAGGGACTATCGGTCCAAAAACATCACGTTTTTCAAGTGATTTTAATTCAGCCTGAATAGCTTCATTCCATTTTGGCCAATCGTGTCGTTTCCGACATTCTTCTATTGATGTTGGCTCATTGTCATTGTTTTCATTCATAACATTTGTGGCAACGGCATAGACAAATATCTTATTAATATCAATATCTTTTCGATTCCATTGCATTCCAGTAGAAACATAATTTATTGAAATTTCATAATTATCAACGTTTCTATCAGTATCTGGAATATCTTCCTCATTTAAGGAAGTTGAATCATTATTTGAGATGTTTGTTTTGTCAATATCATTTTCTATGCCAGTATTTTCAAATTGTTCATTTTCTTGTTCAGAAGGATGAACATCTTTGGCATCACAGATCAATTCCTGCCTTTTAGTCTTTCTTGGTTTTATGTCTTTTGATCCAAGTGGCCTGCCACGCTTTTTGCGTATAGAAGAATCATTTGCGAGAGATTTTTCAGAATTCTCCGCTGGAATTTCAATTCTGGCAGGGGCATTCATAGCAGGAATATGTGACTTTGTCACTTTCTTTGTGTCTGTGAATGCATCAGGCAACTGATTTGCAACATTTTGTAAATGGATTATCTTGTGCACCTCTTGCTCACATATATTTGATCTAGAATCAAGGTGTGATAATCCTGTTGCATTCCATGTTATTTCTTTCGTACTTGGGTCCGATTTATTAGTTTCTCCCCCTAAGGTTGGGAATACTGTCTCATTGAAATGACAGTCAGCGAACCGTGCGGTGAATAAGTCACCGGTCATCGGTTCAAGATATTTTATTATTGAGGGAGATTCAAATCCAATATAAATTCCCAACCTTCTTTGAGGACCCATTTTTGTACGATGAGGTGGAGCAATCGGAACATAAACAGCACAACCAAATATCTTTATGTGTGCTAAGTTTGGCTCTTGTCCAGTAACTAATTGCATTGGGGAATATTCATGATACGCAGTCGGTCTAAGCCGAATTAAATTTGCTGCATGCAAAATAGCATGTCCCCAAGCTGATGAAGGTAAATTACACTTCATTAATAATGGTCTAGCGATTAATTGTAATCGTTTAATCAAAGATTCAGCAAGACCATTTTGTGTATGGACATGAGCAACAGGGTGCTCCACATCAATCCCAATCGACATACAATAGTCGTTAAATGATTGGGATGTAAATTCTCCTGCATTATCAAGTCGGATTCTTTTTATAGAATGATCCGAAAAATGAGCTCGTAGTCGTATGATTTGAGCAAGGAGTTTAGCAAATGCTAAATTTCTAGTCGATAAAAGACTAACATGTGACCAACGTGTTGAAGCATCAATCAACACCATAAAATATCGAAATGGTCCACATGGCGGGGCTATCGGCCCACAAATATCTCCTTGAATCCTTTCTAAAAATGCAGGTGATTCAGTTGCAATTTTGTTCATAGAGGGCCTGATGATCATTTTGCCAAGAGAACAGGCCTTACAAGGAAAATCCCTTGATATTGGAACCCTTATATTCTTTAATGGGTGTCCAAGTGAAGTCTTAATGATTTTATGAATCATTACATGGCCTGGGTGACCTAAACGGTCATGCCACAACATGAATGTTTTCTGATCATCTAACTTTGTGTTAGAAACCAAATTTATTTCAAATGGACTAATATAAGTGAAATATAGTCCTGAGGAATATGCTGGCAATTTTTCACAAATATATTTAGTGCCAGATTTAGTTGTCGTAAGGCAAAGATATTCCTTTTGGTTTTCATTCATGGTTTCTATGTGATAACCATTTTGACGCATGTCTTTAAAACTTAATAAATTTCTCCGCGATTTGCTGGAGTATAAAGCGTCATTTATAATTATTTGGGTCCCGTTAGGGAGCATCACATATGCTTTCCCAGAGCCTTCAATGAGCTTCGCAACACCTGATATTGTATTGACTTTAGCTTCAACTAAAGTCATTTGAGAAAAATAGATTTTATTCTTCAAAATGGTGTGCGTTGTGGCGCTGTCTATCAGACATAGCTCTTTATCACTTGAGTGATCCATATCTTCAATATATAAATAAGCATAAGCTTGACCACAAATTATGCATATTATTTAACATAAGAGTACATATATTACACACATTTATTTAAAAACAAGATAAAAAGGGGAAGAGAGAAAAAATACATAAAACTAATAACATAAGGAGTCTAATATTTTATTTTGTAACATTTTGGTTTATGGCAAAAGCATCATCCATAATGGCATCATCCACGAAGAAGTCGGACACATCAAATTTTGGCAGAGGTGGAGTTGTGTCATTAACATAATTAGCTTCCACATTTTTGCCTTTGTTCAGATTCATGGAAGCTTGAAATAATTCCACCAGATGTTTAGCCGTGCGACATTTATTAGCCCAATGCCCCGTCATGCCACATTTATAACAAGTCGATTTTCCCGAGGATTTTGGAGGGCGATTTATTTGATGGGCTTTTTGTTTGCCCTTGCCCTTGTAATTTGGTCTTTCGACCTGTTTGTATTCTCGGCGTGACTTGTTTTTATGACCATTAAAATGCCCACGTTTAAAATGCCTTCTACTGCCACTGTATGTTGCATTTGATTCAGTGGCTAAATTATGGCCAGATGGACCATAAACCGAAGGACTAGAACCAGTGGGTCTCAGATTGTGATTTTTCATCAAAAGGTCATTATTTTGCTCAGCGACCAGTAAAACTGATATAAGGTCAGAGTATTTTTTAAAACCCTTTTCTCTATATTGCTGCTGTAGCAGCATATTAGAAATATGCATGGTAGAAAAGGTTTTCTCCAACATATCAGCATCAGTGACTTTTTGTCCGCATAACTTTAGTTTAGATGTTATTTGGAACATGGCAGAATTATAGTCACTGATAGATTTAAAGTCCTAGAATCTTAGATTGATCCAGTCATACTGAGCTTTTGGTAAAAGTACCTTTTGTTGGTGGCCATACCTCTCTTGTAAATTGTCCCATAATTCTTTTGGATCATCAACCAAAATATATTCAGATTTGAGACTTTCATGGAGGTGGTGACGGAGGAAAATGATAGCTTTCGCTTTGTCTTGGGAAGATGACATATTATTGGCTTCAATTGTTTCTTCTAAACCATTAGCCTTAAGATGTGCAAGAGCATCGACTTTCCATTCCAAATATTTTTGACCAGACAAATCAAGAACGTCGAACTCTCTTTTGCTAATGTTGGCCATTATACTGCAGGAGATTGATTTGTTGAAGAGTTTCGAGCAGATTCGTGCTGATAACGTGTTGTGAAATGAAGAAGATGAAGACTAAATAAAGAGATAGATATATTGATAAAAAGCTCTAAATAACTTCTTCTTAATATATGATAATTTCTGAATATCTGAATTGCTTGAATTTCTAAGTACATTTACAAGGCATCACCAAACCCCTATTTATACTGATGGAGCTTGGTGATGAATCATCAAAGAATCATTCTACATAATATGCTGGCAACATTAAACCTAACCATCTGTTTATTACAAGGATGAAAATTGGATTAGTGTCCTGATGACAAGGATGAACAATTCACACTTGTCATTCTCAGGAATTTACAACAGCTTAAAAATTGTTTGACAGGGAACAAAAGCATGGCACATTTGGCGTTTAGATCGGGGAATAGTACTGTAGTGGACTTCTCCCCCTTTTCCCGACCTACCATGTCGAATAAATTTCAAATCAAATCATTATAAAATAAAAAATCCAAAATTTACCTGTACTCTTGCCGTGCTTTAGAGGATAAAATCTTTCTGATGCCCTTTGTACGACGAGATCGGACCAGACAGGTAAAAAGGAAAATGGATTCACCGGACACGCCAAACCTTACTTGTGTGAAGAAGAATCAGACAAAATCAGCTTCGCTGCTGCATCCGGCCCGACTCGTCGACCCGGAATCTGAGCCCGGCAAAAAAAGAGTCAAATGCGGTGACCGTTCTACCCGGTCTCTCTTCCACTCTCTCTCATCCAAGCAGGTCGTTTCTATTACAATGGCAGTTGGCAAGCATTTAGTGTATGCTCTCCCTCTCCCTGCCTCTGTGTAGTGTATATATCTACTTGTATATACTAACACTCTTCTCATTTCAAAATTCTTGCAATTTTCTCACAGATGAGTAGCATTTCAGCGTAATCTCGCTGCAGAACTGGAATTTTCGGCAACTGAATCCCCTGTTTGTACTGTAATCTCACCCTGAGAGAAGACGCATTTCGTCTCCCTGCTCTCTAGCGCCGTTTATGTGTTCACACTACCTTTATCGAGGTACAAACACATTCCGGCTAATTCGGCATTACTTTATTGGTCTTCACGTTTGGATTGCGATGGGTGTTTGAATTTGTATCACTAGATGATATGGAAAACACAAGCTTTGAGTTTTTTTGCTTTCTTAGTTTTTTCTTCACCCGAACTACATTCGGATGCTAATTTGGCTTGCTAAGAATTTGAATTGACCGAATTCTCTGAGTTTCCGGTTTGCAGTGCTACGCTCGCGTGCCTGCATGATTATACTTGGTTCTACCAAATGTTTTCGCAAGCCAATTACGACTTAATTAAAGGTTTATGAAACATAACATATTTGATTTTCATTTCGTAGTGATATAGTAGAAGTTAGGACTGTGAAATTGTTAATGTAAGTTCAAGGGGCAGTGATTAAGAAAGCGTGATGAAAAAATAGAGTGATGGGTATCCATCTTTAAATTATCTTACTTTAGGTTACTTTTTACTTTTTGTTGCTTTGGAGTTCAAATTTTTGCTTGTATCTGTGCATCCATGTATATGGGTTCATAATTATTGTAACTTAGTTGATGAAGGATGATGTACTTGTCATTTATTGCAACCAAACTTTGTCCGTGATTCCCTTGCATTTGTGATCAATTATCCTTGTTGGATAGCATTCAACATTCCATTGTAATTTTTATGTCAGCTTGCCAGTTTTTCAAAACATTTACAGTCTCCCTTAAACACAGTGCACTATCATGCTCTGAATTACTTTTTGGTTCTCTAAATTTGATTTTCAAGATTTTTTTTAAAGTTGGCTATTCTGCATATTAAATGATATGGAGTACAGTACTAGTTTAAAGCAGAATTGAAAAGGCTGAAGTGAGGAGGTTGGACGAATTATGGACTATTTCCATATCTATTTGTACTAATTGGTAATCTGTTCGTTTCCGGTCCAAATTCTTTTTCAGAATCAAGTAACTAACAAAGATTTCTACTTTTTTGTAAAATTTCAGCAATTTTTACGGAGCTCAAAGAGTTACTTAGTTGATCCCTATTGATAACTTGGATTCGTCACCATTGTGAACAAGCCCGTTGTTCGTTGGATAAGAGTACATATTGCGTTAACGAAATCATGGGGACTGGAATATGTTCTACTCGGGTATTATTACCTTTTTGTGAGGAGAGTGGTGATGAAGAACTGTCTGTTCTTCCAAGGCACACAAAAGTCATTGTGACAGGAAACAATAGAACAAAGAGTGTTCTGCTGGGACTGCAGGGTGTTGTCAAGAAGGCTGTTGGACTAGGCGGTTGGCATTGGCTGGTATTGCTCATAAACCTCTTATGTTTCTATGGTTTCCCTGGTTTGCATATCTTTACCTATTGCATAACTATGTGTGTATGTGATTCCTTTTTATTAATACTCTGTTTTCTCAATCTCGATGCTACTACCTTATTGGCCAATTGGCAATAAGTGGAGAAGCCCATTTTTCTTTACAAATACATATTGGTATTATTATAGCTTTAGGAAAATTTGATTTCTTTTTTTATTAAAAAAGTAAAATGTTGAAATAGGTTACCTTACTGCCCTCCACATGTTATTTCCACATCTAAGCATAGGTGATGGATTTTATTCATGTGACTGACAATGAAATTAAACAGAAAACAATTTGGATTATTTGAAGATTCTTTTTTCCTATTATCTATTTTTTATTTCACTTTGGATGTGAAGAATAGCCATTTTGTCCCCTTCAGCCATATTACCTGTCCCCATTTGAATGTCCTCTTCAATTCGACACTGAGATTAAGGAAAATTAAAACTGATTCATTTAGATGTATTTAGAAGAGACAAAAAGAAAACTCTAAAGATAATGTAGGGATGAAGAGAGTAAAAATTGAGTTTGGGTTTATGAATTATGATGAATTTGATGTTTTATCTGGTTCTTACCGCTTATTGTGGAGCCTATTTGCTGAGTAATTTGTTATGTATATTAAACATTGAAGGTTCTGAAGAATGGTGTTGAAGTGAAGCTCCAAAGGAATGCTCTGAGTGTGCTTGAGGCTCCCACTGGAGATGAAGAAGATGATGATTATGACTTTAATGACTCTAGCAGTGGTTCTGAAGTTGGTGAAAAAGACAATCATCACTTTTGTAAGCTGTCACTTTGTTGTGGACGTTTCCCATGTGACAAGTTTTGCCTCACTTGCCTCAATTACTTTGTTTTTAATTGGCTTTACCCTTTTCTTCTTTGTTTAGCAACTGGTGGTGTTGAGTTTAGAAAGGTTAGCCACCCAAGGGTTCGTTACACTCGGCCATGGGTTCCGCCTACATCTGCAAAATCAATCAGCCGTTGTAGCAACAAAGGTGTCGAAACTAAATATTGTCGTGTGTATCAACAGGTAATGATAATAATAAGTGAATGACATGAAGTATGCGGTGTTGATCCATATTTATCATTTTATATAAGTTCATCGTTTGTGGAGATGATTAATTAATTCTACTAGTTCATATGTTTTTACTGATGGAATGAAATCATCAGAGAGTGAACTTCGCAAAAGTAGGAACCAGCTCATTGTGGAGATATTGGCGAAACTACAACCTCGTAAGTTCCTCTGCTTCCTAGTAAAATTGTTCTATAGGTTAAGGTTTTGCATCTATAAATGATGAACTTATTGTTTTTTATTAATAAAATAGCAAACTGTAAATACTCCCAACCCCACCAAGGCTCAACTGGTCAGCGCGGTCCAGCGACATTTTGCTTCACAGGTTTACCGTCTCCCCCTTTCTCGTAATACAAACTTCCTTGGTATATATCTAATCTGTCATTCCACTATTATGTGTTTTTATTATTGTTTTAATTTCAGCGAGTTGACGAGGTGCAAGTGGTGGTGGAGTTCATCCGCGCTGCAAAAAGACTGAGATCAGCTCACCTGCGCTGAGATTGATTGATTGGTTTAAGACTCGTGTGATTGGATTCTATAACAAATTTATGTAAGCATGTATATATAATGTAAATACGTCTAAACACTAACTTAGTTTTCTGTTGCTAATCTTAAACCTGGTAAGCACTAATTGAGATGGAGTGGCTGTGCAGTGGGAGCTTCTTTACCACCTCACTCCCATAGTCCCATATCCTCTCTTGGACACTAACCTTGTATTAATATCTTCTGCATTTGACTCAGCTTGTCTTATGTAGTATATATAACCCTTCTATGTCTTCTAATCTTTAATATATATCCCTTATTCCCTTTGCAATAGATATGGATGGACCCGGGTCAGTCGCGATTCCGGGCCAAGACTGCCCGGTAAAAAAAAATCGGTTTGGCTCAGGCCGGAACCACTTTTCTCCGGGTTTGGGCCAGTTCCGGGTATCCGACTGTTAACTTTCTTTTTCTTTTTTGGCAAGAATAAGACCATTTGTAGTGGTTAGGTTTTAGGAGTTCAAAATATTAAATTTGGAAATTTTGGACTCCTAATGGTGGCCAGATTATATCGTACAAGTGGTACAACTGGCTGTACGGTGAGCACCGTACCGTCGGGTGTTTTTGAAATTAAATTGAACTTCCAGGCTTATAGCTATGGTGCTCTGCTTTCTCCGATTCTTCTTCAGTCACCGACTCACCGTCCCTGCTTTCTCTTAGCCGCAGTCCGCACGTTTGTGTTTTCATTCGTACGTTTCTAGGTTAAACTCTTACTTAGTGTTGGAACGGGTCGGGTCGGGCCCGGGCCGGGTCAAGGCCCGGTCAGGCCTCGGGTCTTATAATGGTAGGCCCGGGACCGGCCCGGTCAATGACCGGTTCCGGTTCGGGCCGGGCCACCCGCCCGGGTCATGGGTCGGGCCACCCGCCGGGCCGGGCCGGTCCAGTACATTTTTTTTAATTAATTATATATTATACAAATTGCTATTAAAAACAAAGTTCAAGTGCATTTATTTGAAATAAGAACTACATTTGAGAATTGAGAAAAAAATAACAATACGAAATACATTTTGTAATGAATATCAATTGGGATTTCCGCCACCGTTGGTTGTTGTTTTCCCTTTGTCACAGGACTTCATATGTTTTATTGGCATCCCGTATCCGTATGAACGCTCCAAGCAACAGTCTTTCTTGCACCACCTGCAAGTTGCCCACCACAGCCCGGTCTTCGGGTCCTTCTACTTGTCAAAATTGTTTTGCATAAGGGAAGATGTACTTTCCATAATTAAAATGGTATATGTATAAGTAGGAATGTAGGATAATAAGAGAAGATGAAGATGGAGAAGAGTTTGAGAAGAATTGGAGAAGAGGTGTAGAAAAATGTTAGAAAATAGATGTATTTATAGATGTTTTTGAACCCCACTCCCCACACCACCACCCCCAGGACCCCCCTGCCCCCCACCCATAGCCCCAACGGCTATATAGCCGTTTGGGAGGTTTGAATTAATTTTTTTTTAAGTTATACACATATTGTAAAATAAATTAATTAATTTAATGAATTAAGTAAAACTAAAACTATTTGTACTTAGAAAAGTGGTTTGATTTATAATTTACAAATGTTACAAAATAGGTGTATAAGTATTTAAACAAATTACATATTGTAAATGTCTTTTTAATTTAAAAATCGGCTTTATATTTTAGAAAAATAATTTTAAGTCGTTAGATTGTAACCAATTAATTAATTTGAGAAGTGCTACATATGAAAAAGTGAACACATATTTATTTGAAATATGAAGTACAAGTTTACAAATTAATTTGAAGTACAACTACAAATTTACAATTTTGAAATATGAAGTACAAGTTTATAATTTTGAAATATGAATTACAAGTATAAATAAATTTGACAAGTGCTATAAAATACATTTTGTAATAAATTCTAAAATACTAATCAATCGGAATCTCCGGCATAGGTAGAGCCACCATCGGTTGTTGAGTCATCCATAAAATCTTGGGAGGGGGTGATGCTCAATTCTTGAGTTCTACGTGCGGCCTTCAACCAATCGTGGTAGCATATAAGCGTCTCAAGAGACTCCGCGCTCAATCTCGATCTAGATGCCGTTAGGACGTTGCCGGCCGAACTAAATTCTTGTTCCACAGCAACTGTTGAAACCGGCATTGATAGTACTTGCTTAGCCATCCGTGCTAAAATCGGGAACGTTCTTTCTTTTGACTTCCACCAGTCTAGAACGTCAAAGTCATCATTTTCTTCAAAATCAACTTCATATGTTAAATACAAAGTAAACTCATTCAATGCGCTTTGTTCAGTGACGTGAGTTGTTTTAGTTTTTTTCATAAGATTGCCAAATGCAGATTTAAAAATCGATTTTCCTTTAGATGAAGATGTTCGTGACGGGGGAGGGGGAGCGTTGCTATATTGTGCACGAAACTCATTAAATAAGGCATAAAATAAAGTACTAACCTCGTGGTATTCCGTTTTCGGATCTATGGGGTTATCGTCATACATTGGAAATTCACCGAAAAACGCAAGATAATAGAAGTTGAAACAATCTTCCAAATTAGCAAGTCTATAACGAGGATCGAGAATAAATGCAATACCATAAATATGGGGAATATGCGCATAATATTTTAAAAACTTTTCCTTCATATGATCACAAAAATAATGAACGAAAACGGCATTCTGAAATTCTTTAAAAGCATCGGCGAGATTAACAGCTTGTGGAATAAATTGGTTTGCGGTAGGTTTATAAACATGACTAAAAGTTTCAGTAGCATTAAAAAAATATATCAAAACATTACAAATTTTTTCGCAAGTGTCGATCTCAGCCGCGTTTATAATATAGTTATCATGTTCTTTTAAAAAAGCAGGAAAATGTTCTTTATATCTAAGAACAACTTTAAGTAATTTATAAGTATTATTCCAATGAATACTCAAATCTTTAGGAAAAGCAACATATCTCACACCTCTTTCAGTCAAATAACTTTGCCATTTTAATCTAAGTTGACCATTACCCCAAATACGTCTAATCCCCCCCTTTATTACCTCCATGGAATCTCCTAACGCTTTTAAACCGTCTCGCACACATAAATTTATAACATGACATGCACAGCGTTGATGAAAAAATCTACCCATCAAAGAATTGGCACCACACAACTCACGCAATCTAGGTATAGCAGCAGTATTATTAGTAGCATTATCGAAACCAATAGCAAACACCTTATCAATCAAATTATACTCAATTAAAATACGCTCAATCAAAATATAAATATGTTCAGCGGTGTGACGATCATTAAATTCACGAAAAGCAAGAACACGTTTATGCATATTTCAATCCTCATCAATATAATGTGCAGTCAGACCCAAATAATATAAATGATGAAAATCATCCTCCCATATGTCAGAACAAATAGTAACACGCCCATCAAAGTTTGCAAAAAAATTTTGTAACCTTTCCTTTTCCGCATTATAAAGCCTTATTATTTCTTTCTTAACAGTTTTGCGACTATAATTTCTAAATTGAGGATTTAAACTACCTTGTGCATAATCTCTTAAAGCAAGACTTTGAGAAAAACAAATAAGGCAAATTTTCTTCACAAATTAAGTTAGCCATACCAGTCAAATTTTGTGCATCATTGTAGGAGAAATTACCAAAAGGTTGAGAATTCGCAAACCTCGATATTTGAGTTTGCTTCCCCGTTCCGCCGCCTAATTTTGCATACTCCACGGGGTGCTTTGCCTTAAGATGTCTTGCGGCGGATCCGTATCCGCCGGAGGTTCCCAAACTATAATTGTTGTTGCACCACTTGCAAGTTGCGTGCCAATAGCCGGTTTGTGGGTCCTTCCATTTATCAAAATTATTTTTCATTAGTTCAGACTTACTTTTTTTATTACCGGTGGCGGTTTGGGATGAGGCAGGTGCGTCGGCGTCGTGGCTGCCGGCACCCTCCTCCTCGGCCGTCTCCGGTTCCAATTCCTCCGCATCTTCATCCTCAAGCTCCTCTTCGTCAATGGTCGTCGGCATTTGTTGTTGTTGTAGAAAGCGGTTATTATGTCGGGCCAATTCTTGTTGGAGTTGTTCTTCGGACATCGCATCTCCATCTCGCCTTTGGTAACCCGTTTCAAAATCATCTCGGCTTTGAGATGAAGAACCAGCAAGTTCTTTACCTTTGCGGGATTTCTTCCTCCCAATCTCGTTCCTTCGATTGCGTTGGAGGTTACCCAAATCAACCGAATATCTACCACCTTCCATGTTAAAAATGTAACAAATATTAATTGACAACCAATATAATAATGGATACAAAACTAATGCAACTAATTAAAACTATTTTAATTAATACTTCAAACTAATTTAGTGCAAAGTAGAATTAATGTGTGACTTTAAAATTAAAATTATACCAACTTTTGAAGTACTTTAATTTAGTAAAAACTACTTAAATAAAATGTTAAGTACTTTAATTAAATGATTGAACTACTATTTCTTCCTACAAATATAAATTGAAAATAAGAAAATGTGACTTTAACTATAATGAATTAATGACAATTAACTAGTTTATTGAAGTAGAGTTGTTTTAACAATTAATGAGAATACTAATGAGGTAAATAACTAGTATAATGAAAAATGTAACAACAATGCTAATTAACTAATTAACTAGTATAATGACAAATGTAACAACAATGCTAATAAACTAATTAACTAGTATAATGAAAAATGTAACAATAATGGTAATGAACTAATTAACTATTATAATGATAAATGTAACAAGAATGCTAATTAACTAATTAACTAGTACAATACTAGTTATATTAAGTAATATATAATATAATATTTATAGTATATAATATATAAGTATACTACTATAAGATGAGTAATACACTTATATTTTATACTTTAATATATAAAGTATATATTAAGTAGATGTAGAATGTATGTATTAAGTGGATATAATAATTGTATAAGAATTAAATATTAGAGTATAATGGAGAATTGGAGATTGGAAAATAAGAAAATAAGTATATATAAAATAGATATTATAAAGTATATATAAAAGTAGATATTATAAAATAAGTATATATAAAGTAGATATTATTAAGTAGAGAAGTAGATATTATTATGTATTAAGTATATAGTAATAGTTTATAAAGTATATTTAATACTTTATTATATAAAGTATATATTAAGTAGATGTAGTATGTATGTATGTATTAAGAAATATAAGTAGAGATTAAGTAGATAAGAAATATAAGTAATATAGTATATGTATTTATAAGTAGATAATTAATATATAA